TGTGTGTGTGTGTGTATATATACCAGGTGGATGCTGCTCTGGGGTCAGAGGAGATGGTGGAAACCCTGACGGAGAGGAACCTCGACCTGGAGGAGAAAGTCAGAGAGCTGAGAGAAACAGTCACTGATCTGGTTTGTACAGCTGCTCTTATGATTCCCTATAACTATTTCCTCACCAGAACAGGCTTGTTCATACCGTGCAACTATTCAGTTGGATTCTACTTTTAGGGTTAAATTTGTGGGTAAAATCCTATTAGTTATTTACTTCATCACCAACATTATGGTAAATGTAACCAGAAAATTATTACAAAGGTCGAACAAAAAACAGAAGGATATTTATTAACTGATCTCTAACTTGTACCTGCAACAACAGGAGGCCATCAATGAGATGAACGATGAGCTCCAGGAGAACGCCCGGGAGACGGAAATGGAGCTGAGGGAGCAGCTGGACCTGTGTGGAGCGAAGGTCCGAGAGGCTGACAAAAGGGTGGAGGCTGCGCAGGAGACTGTAGCTGATTACCAGCAGACCATCAGCAAATACAGAGAGCTCACCACGGGGCTACAGGTGAGTGGATAGGATGCTCAAGGAAACAATCAGAGGATAGACTGTACACGCTGTGCGAGTGAATGTCCTAACGCTTTGTGCTTTCCATTCCCTGTGCATCAGGAGGCCAACAGGGAGCTGATCAGCCAGCAGAATGCAAACACTGAAGTTCAGCAGCCTCCTGCTGAGCTATTTGACTTCAAGATTAAGTTTGCAGAGACCAAGGCTTATGCCAAGGTAGGAAACATTTGTGTGTTATCATGCAAGGAGTGATGACTGATGGGAGTTGGCCTGTTTTTACACCTCTGCCACCATTTGTGTGTAATCTGTGTCCTTCTCTAGGCCATTGAGATGGAGCTGAGGAAGATGGAAGTGGCTCAGTCAAACAGACAGGTATCCCTCCTCACCTCCTTCATGCCGGACTCCTTCCTCCGTCATGGCGGAGATCACGACTGTATTCTGGTCCTCCTGCTCATCCCCAGGCTCATATGCAAGGTATGAAGCTGTGTGTATGTTTGGAGGTGCATTTGTGAGAAGGATCTTTTTGTTGAATCCTCATCACTATTAACTCCACTGTGCTTAGTTTGTTCCTCTAATCAATGCCTCTCTACGTGTGTGTGTCCCTTACCTGTCAGGCTGAGCTTATCAGTAAACAGGCCCAGGAGAAGTTTGACTTGAATGGGAACTTGGCCCAGGGGACGGGGCTCAGAGGACCTCCGGGAGAGCAACGCAGCTTTGCCTCAGGACTGGTCTACTCCCTGAGTCTGCTGCAGGCCACCCTGCACAAATACGAACAGTAAGCACTGCGGCTTCATCACTAATGCGTCAGAAATCAAATATAGTGTTATAATTAGGGGTGTAAGAAAATATTTTAAAAATTTCATATGGCAGTATTTTGTTTTGTGATATTATTAGTACCGATTCTCTAAACACTGTATTGTTTTTTATATTTAAACCTCCCACTGCTAGATAGCACTGTTGTAAACTAAGATGATGTTGGACATTACAGGTACTGTGTACTGCAGATCTCACTGTTCTGGTTTCATTAAAACAGTTTTTCCGATTTTATACATATGGTGGTTTGTTCTTTACACAATGTTGTTTTCCTAAAAGTGTATTTAAATAAAATAAAGTAAACGCAATATATCGCCTTGCTTACAGTATCACAATATAATACACAATATGTGATATAATCATAATCTCTGTATCATGTTGTGTATCGTATCGACAAATTCTTGCCCCCTTATTATTAGAAGATTTTAAAGAATTGCGTCTTGGCTGCTGGCAATGAAACCAGAATTATTGTTTTGTTTTTATATGAAGAAATATTTGATTTCACTAGAAAAATCAATCTGTTCTTTCCGTCTTCCTTGCTCTGCTTCCAGGGCTCTGAATACCTGCAGCGTGGAGGTTTTCAAGCGCATGGGCACACTCTACTCTGAGATGAGCTTCCATGAGCGCTCTCTGGATTATTTCATCGACCTGCTGCATAAAGATCAGCTAGATGAGACCGTTCAGGTGGAACCCCTTACTAAGGCCATCAAGTACTATCAGGTAACAAAAGAATGTGGTTTTATATGAAACAAGAGTTGTATATAAACACAATCAAACATGGATACATCAATACATTTTCCTATTATATTTGTTCAGATCTTCCAATATGCATTTAAAACTAGTATGTGATGGCTTTAAATGAGTCTCTTAGCCTATTGTACAACTACTATCAACCAAATATACAGTATATTTATATGAATTTGAATATAATCTTTTCATAAACATAAAGTTTTGTCCACTGTTTTGTCTTCCAGCAACTGTACAGCGTCCATCTGGCAGATCACACTGAAAACTGCACAGTGCAGCTGGCTGACCACATTAAGGTACTTCAAGCTTTGTTTTGCTTTAGTCAAAGTTTTTCACAGGTTCATTCCTAAAACAGAATTCTGCATTCTTACTTTGTTTTACAAATAGTAAAGAGTCATTTTCATGTGGTTACTAAGGTAAAAATGTATAAGAAATCTCAAATTTTTTATTTTTTATCCCTATGAGGAAATATGGTAGTAAAACATAAATGACAATGTAGTAATAAGGTTTCCTAACTTCAACAATGCCACCCTCTCGCCTCCAGTTTACCCAGAGTGCCCTGGAATGCATGGGAGTGGAGGTAGCTCGTCTCCGGGCGTTCCTGGCCACGGGCCAGGAGAGCTCTAGCCTCGCTGTCCTTCTAAAGGACTTGGACACTTCCTGCTCTGATATCAGACAGTTCTGTAAGAAGATCCGCCGTCGCATGCCTGGAACAGATGTAGTTGGAGTACCCGCTGCTCTCAATTTTGGACCACAGGTATAGGATACAGAAACAAACAGAATAGAAAACTCGGACGCTTCCTTTTTGTCTTACATGATTATCCTTTGCATGATTTATTGACACACTGTCTGATGATCATCGACCGAATAACACACACAGAAATGATTGATCTGCAGTAAATATTTGACTGACATGTTGTGTCTCACTGGCAGGTGTCGGAGACGCTGACGGAGTGCAGGCGCCAGCAGACCCGCGTGGTGGCTGTGCTGCAGGAAGTGGCTGCAGCTGGAGCTCAGATGGTTGCTTCACTGGCAGAACAGGAGGGGCTCAACGCTCTCAAGATGGAAGATATTGCCTGCAAGGTTGTGGAGCAGGTAGTTCAACTGTCAATCGTGCAGCATTCGCCCGATACTCCAGACCTTGGCCAAATGTTATTTGCAAATATTTCTTGGCATTTGTTGTGAAGTAGTGGTTGGGGATTGTTCTATCAAGCATTTAAATATAATAAGGTTGTTACAAGTACACTGGATTGATTAGAAAACACTTTTTAGTTCTGAGTATTGTTGTTTTGGGTCAAGTAGGCATAGGTGGTTGATTTTAGGTTGCAGCTGTGTTATTGTATTATCTAAATCTGCAAACTTGTCCCCAAGGTGTACGGCTCTCATGGCCTGAACGGCCCAGAGTGTCTGCGCCAGTCCTGCAGCTCTGTCATCAGTACCATGAACAAGATGGCCACAGCCATGCAGGAAGGAGAGTATGACGCTGACAAACCACAGGCTATGGTATGTGCGTGCCTCGAACCATTCACATTGATGAATCGCATATTTCAGACAGTGAAATTTAAGCAAATTGGTCTCTTATTCCCTGTTCCAATTCTCACTACTTGATCACTTCCCCCACATCCTCAGACTCCTCCGATTGAGATGAGAGCATCCACCGTCAGGGCCGAGATGACTGACGCTGAGGGTCTCGGAGTTAAACTAGAAGACAGAGAGACGGTCATCAAGGAGCTCAAGAAGTCACTCAAGATAAAGGTGACACACTACAGCAAACACTTCTGACAAAATCACTTGACCTTTCTCTCTTTCTACATAATTCTGCCACTTTGAAATTGAAAGCATCACAACCTAGGGCCTAATTAATGCAACTGTACCTCCCTCCCCCAGGGCGAGGAGCTGAGTGAGGCCAACGTGCGTCTGAGCCTGCTGGAGAAGAAGCTGGACACGTCCACCAAAGACGCAGATGAACGGGTGGAGAAGATTCAGACCAAACTGGACGAGAACCTCGCCCTGCTGAAGAAGAAAGAAAAGTAAGAATAAATAAGGAAGGAAGCATAAGAAATGAACACGAGGCAGATTTCACATCCCCTTTTTCTCTCTTCTTACTTTTCCTGCTTGCTCACCTTCCTCTCTCCTCATCTTCAGGGAGTTTGAGGAGACGATGGACGCTCTGCAGGCTGATATTGACCAGCTGGAGGCAGAGAAGGCAGAGCTGAAACAACGCATTAACAACCAGTCCAAGATGACCATTGAAGGCCTGAGAGGCCCACCTGCTTCTGGAATTGCCTCCATAGTCCAGGGATCTGCAGGAGGTGAAGCAGATAGAAATTTTGTCATTTTGTGTTTCATAAAAGGTGTGATAGCCTCTAATTCAACTTTGTGAGAAGCAGTTTCAACCAGCTGGTAATGAGAGGTGTTTTCTTCCTGTAGTTGGTAATTGTATTATTCCTACCAGACAACACTCAGATATTGGGAAGCACAGTTGTCATGGTGATTGAACGTCTCTCCCCGTTCTCCCTTTCTGTCTCCAGCAGGTCTGCCTCCATCCCTGGCAGGACCAGTACAGGTGGTGGACTCTCCTCTCCTCAGGCAGCAGGTTGAAGCTCAGAGACTGGGCATCAAACACCTTAAGAATGAAAACAACAGACTCAAGGTACACTGGTGTTTGTGTTGTTGTAGTATTGTTGTAAACCCTGGTAATACTGACCTGAGTGTATTTGACTTACAGGCAGAGAAGATGAGAGCCCAGCTGGCCTCCCTGCCTCCACTCTGCCCTCCCAAACTACCAAAAGTGTCCAAAGAGAGCTCCATGCCACCAGAGGGACTGAACACAGGCATCTATCGCAGGACTGACCAACTGCTGGCAACCCTGCTCAAGCTGAGTTCAGAGGTGAAAGTGGTGGACGTCACCGGGAAGACAGCAGGTGTGTGTCTCAGTTTCTACACTGTCCTCTCCTGTGTGTGCTTATGGTTGTTCTCAGCTGAGTGAACTGGTTGATTTTCTGTCTTTCTTCTAGTTACTGCCAGTGCCCAGCTGTTGGAGCAGACAGCTAGACTGCAGAACCTCAGCGATGCTCTGGATAAACTCAAGGTGACACAACTTCAGAATCATATCAGTTCTCCTTAGCGTGACAGTAAACTGACCGCAATACAAAACCAAATATCTGGACACTTTTCTGTTTCAGGGAGAAGTAGCTGAACATGTAGTCTCATATCAGCCTGGAGCAAAGGCTTCCTCTGACTTCGCCACATTCCCAGTCTCCTCCTTTGTTAAGGTAAAACGCTGCACTAATCATTCATCTTTTCTTGTCAGAAGATTTCGATGCTTGTTCAAGAAATTAAACCACATGTTTGTGTATGTGTTTTTTCCTAGGCCAAGGGAGAGAAGCAGGGCGGTACCGTGTTTGTAGGGCGTGTTGCCATTCCATGCTCTCGTGGACAGGAACAGGTGCACCGCCTCGTCCTGTCGCAGCAGCAGTTGCAGAAAGTGCACCACCTCCTCATGGCCTGAGACCGCATGCCATTGGCCCACAGCCATGATTGACAACACGTCAAGAAAAGCTTTTCCTTATTTTCATTCCAGCTTCCATTTAAACGTTGTCCTTTATTTATCCCTTTTGCTTTTCACTACTCTCAGGAACTTGTATCCAATATTTGCAGTTAACATTATAGCACTAACAAAACTGAGGCACAGCCGTTTCTTTATATTGACATAAAACTGATGTGTGTGACTGTTCCATAACAGAGTCCAAATGGATTTGACTCCTGAATGTCACATTATGGAGTCGTGTTTTCATCACTGAAACACTTTGTATGCACCAGTTTTACCAACTCTTTGTGGAAAAGGGGAATGCTAGCACGTCATTTTTACTGTACTTCCACAATTGAAGTCCCCACCCCCCTTTGTATCTTTTGTATTTGTTGTCAGACAATAAAAGCAATTCACTTTAGAGCAAAAAAAAAGTCTTTATTAATGTGTCATTTCAATCTTACAAATGTTCATGAAGAGTTTAGGGTACCAGTGTCTACCAATTTTAATCCTGTTTTAATCTCAGACCTATTAACTGAAATGTGTTTGGCTTTAAAGTTTCACTACCACTTCTCTGACTGCATAAATCAGATCTGAACGTTGATGTGTTTAAGGCCTAAAAGGAAACAAAATCTTTATCCCATACTTGACATTAAGAGACATCAGAGGGATCAGTAATTTAGAACCTTGAGTGATTCCTTTTAAAATAAGTCAAAAACAGTCCCATTGAAATATTTTGAATTCGAACACAGCACCTAACATCTGAAGTGCAGAATTAAAAGTCCGTTGAAATGAAAAATATATTTAAAATCTATTATTGGTGCAAAAATTCAAACAACTAAAAGAGTAATTAACTAATTTACAATATAAGAAAAGGACCAATATATGTGTATGTCTGAGGCCATTCGCTGAATTCAATCAAATCTGAGTGAACTAAAGTAAGCAGTTTGGGGATTAACGGCTCCTCCTTAGAACACAGAGGACCATAATGTACTGCAGATGAAGCAAGAGACTGGCGTAGAGAACACAGTTGACCATGTCTGAATGTCGTGACGCACCCTGCCTCAGTAGTAGCGGCCGTGACGGGAGTACTGACTGTGTCTGTGATGGGTGTACGGAGCATAGTGGTGTCTGGTGTGTCGGCTCCTCATCACGTGCTGATGATGGTGCTCATGGTAGGGCTCAAAGTGTTGTGGAGTCCTGTAGTTGAAACCTGCAGACCACACAGGGAATGTCAATAGGCTGCTCAAAGACATTTTCAATGAGTAGATCAGAGAAAACACAGATGCTCTAATCTCTCTAATCTGTTTGTTCAGCTCTGTACACTTACCATTTCTAACCTGTCCATGTTCATATGGATGTCTGTGAACTGGTAGGTTAGGCAGTGTTGGGAAGGCGGGTCTGTGAGCTCCAGCAGCCTTATGGTGACATGCCTGTGGCCAAGGGTCGTTCTCCTTGAAGTTCAAGTAGCCTAAAGTGAAGGAATCACTGAAGAACTCCTCTCTGTAGCTGTTGTAAGTTTCCTTTGATGGGTGGCCTTTCACGGAGAAACAGAGACAATAGAGGGACGATGATGGACATCCAAGTATATGCAAGAACATGTCCGAATGTACAGGGCCTTTATTTTAGAAGGTCATACGGTCATTGTGTTTTATTTCACCCATATTTGCTTGCCCTTTATTAATCCATCAATAGCAATAATCCTAATCAACACACTGTCGTCATCTGATGTCTTACCTGCACGTTTGGTTCCGTGCTGCTGTTCAGTAAACTCTGTTTGCTCTAAAAAAAAAAAAAAAGAACAAAATGTCAATCTAATTTAAACAAAGGCCATTAGTGCAGTAAGCCTAAATAACAAGTCCCATCTTAGAGTGGGGCTGTATAATTTACTCCTGTGTGTGGTTGTGTGTTGTCTTCCTCACCAACAGTAGTCAATGGACAGGGCATGACGACACCCCAGGCCTGTGCACTGTGCTGCAACAGCAGAAAGGTTATCCTGCGGTGGGCGAGAGCGTTCCAGTGGACTCCATCCTTTGTGCGGTGTTGCAGGAAGAAGCGGAACTGGTAATGGAGGTCCAGCACATCCATCCCGTAGGCGTCAGCCAGAGTCCCACTATAGAAATTAGCCTCAATCACATCCTGACGCAGCTGAGAGGCCCTGTGTTCAATCTGAGGTGAAAGAGGGAGGGAGAACCAACACACAAAGCGTATATATATATATATATATTGGATACAAAATACACATTACTATGGTCTTTAAGAAGTTCTTAATTTCTAGGGATGCAACCCACTTTACTAACTGACTAGTGTAAACTCCACAGGCACAAATGACACAAATCTCCTGTTGTCTGTATGTTGTGAACACAGTAAACTCAATATGAACGACTCAGTCAAGAAATGTAACAACCACCTCACATTTTATAAAGAGTTCAGTCTAGACCTGCTCTATTTGAAAAGTGTCCTGAGATAACTTCTGTTATGAATTGGCGCTATACAAAATAAAATAGAATTGAATTAAATTAA